TGTCCTGTTTTGAATCCTACCCACTTTCCTCATGTGTTGCATATCTTTGCACCTTACACTACTTTCTGTAGTGTATCCGTAAGTGTGTTATCCTTAAGCAGTGGGCGATGAAGGGTCTCTTTTGTCTTGGTGGACTGGTGTAAGAAACAGTCTGGGCCTTTACACTGACAGGATGCAGTTTTTAACTGTCTGCCTACTTACTTCTCCCCACTGCAAGGGAATTTTTCTGGCCCATATGCATATTGAGTCTGCTGTAGAAGGTAGGAAAACAAACACCAGGTAAGCCAGTTAGCATATCAGGCTAGGAATTCTCTTTTCAGAGTTACTCCAGAACTCTCAACAAAGGCCTTTGGTGACCAGTACCTTCTTTTCACCCTCAGCAGTGAATTAAAGTGCTCCTTTGGACAGGCAAGCTCTTGGAAATAGCAATTATGACTCAATAGAGCTTAGAAGACTGGACTTCTCATGCACAAATAAATGCACTGGAAAAAAAGAAAATCTTTAAGCAGTTCAGAATTCCAGAGAATAAACTGTGCTCCCTACAAACAGATGGATTTTCTTCATTTGAAACTTCATGCCTTTAGTGACTACTTTCTTCCAGCAAGTCAAACTTTTTTTTAGGTTTAAAAAACAGAAAGACTTCAGCTGATGAAAGTTCTTGAGAAAATACACAAATCCACTGCACACTGGACATATTTTTAACAAATAAGGGTCACAGCAGCAGGTCTGGTCAGTACATTCTACTACAAGTACAGGAACTTTGCCCCACTATTGATCTGAGGAAATACATGGGGGAAAACAGCTTTCGTTAGTTAGACTATTTCTAAAGAGCAATTCGTGACTTGCAGACTCCTAAATGTTTCAGAGAAACAGAAATTACAGAATTTCTGGATGAAAATTCCTTTCTTTGTACTCATTGACTGTGCTCCCTTTTAAATACAGCAGAGTGAAGAACGGTACGCATATCTTCGGAGAACTGGGAATAATGGTGGGTTTACAAATTATCACACTTACAGTCAGTTGGTTTTGCAACTTCTTCACTTGTTTTTGTAATTCCTCCAGCTGCTGTCTTTGTCTTTTGGGGGCACTGGTTGATTAGGAAAGCTGAGAAAGGCTGTTCAATGCTTCTTTTAATTTGCTGACTTCCTTGGACATTTCATTGATCTAGGAAGGCAAAAAACAGGTTTTCAATAAAAGCATGCAAGGCATACTGTATTCTTGTGGGTTATTTGTGACTTAAATTTAAGAAATGGGGAACAACGAGATGTAAAAAAAAAAATCAATGGACAAACACAGACATCATGTCAGCAAAGGGTTACAATACTTCTCTATACCCCTTCCAGCCCAGTCAATTCCATATGCACTCCTTGTTCTGAAAGCCAGCAGTATTTATGAACAAGGATTGCATTTACCACCTTTACAAATACTGCTGCTGAACACAAGACAGAAACAATACAAACATAGGCCAGCTATTCACAGCTAGCAAAATACATAGCTTTTTATAAAGAAATTTGTAGTGACAGATATGGTAGCTGCAGAGGAAAAATAGTCAAGTCATGCTAAGGTTGAGATGATATAGTAAAATCAGAACAGTGAATTTTTGCTCCTTTCTGATATTTTGTTTTCTTGTCTCCTCTGGAATCTTTCTGCTGTAAATGCCACTTCTTCGACTTCAGTTGTGTGAATAGTGTGAACCCAACCTAAGCAGAATTTAAAAGACGTTAATTGAAAGATCATGCATATTTCCACACGGGAGGGAAACAAACTATAAAGTTAAACATACTGAAAACTTTTTTGACTTTGATATCTGAACTTTTAAATGGACAAATGCACTCAAAATTTACTCCACCCTGTGATACTTGACACAACAGCATCTATTAGGTCATCCATGCACCATCCAACAAGTTTTGCAGCCTGAACTCATGTACTATCCCTCCGCTGTAGTGAATCACTAACCTTTTTATCTTTATCCTCTTCTAGTTTTGCTGAGCTTTCAGAATACCTTTTCATTTCAAGAAGCTCTTCTTGAACTTGATGGTACTTTTGATGAAGACCGGTCACCTCCCGTTCCTTTGCTTCAAGCAGAGTATGAATACCTTCTTTCTCTTCCTGCAAGTGCAAAACTTCATTTCTCAGTTGCATAGCATCTAAGGACACATCTTCCTTCTCTTGGATTACATCCTTCAGTTTGGATGACAAAACACTAACTTCACCCTCTAGTGATGACTGGAGCTTTTCATATGCAGCCTTGGGTACCATTGCTTCATTAATTGCAGCTTTTTCTTCCAGTAATTCCTTCTGCAAGTTTCTTACTTCGCTTTCCTTGTTGGTAAGTCGTCCTTTGAGCTCATTTATTTCTTCCTCCATTTCCCTTACAGTATTTCTGAGTGCATTCATCACCTGATGGTGTTCAGTGATTGGCAGAGAGTTTTGCTTCTGGGCATCTAACAGTTGCTTTAGTTCTTCTGCTTCAGCTAATACTTTTGTGTACTGGGATTTAATTTCTGATAACTCATTCTCTGCTTTGTATTTCAAAGAATTTGTTACTTGCATCAGTTTCTCATGTTCATCTCTAGGAATGTAGTCCAAAGTTATATCATCTGGAGTTTTTCTCTTTCTATAGTCCTCAAGCTCTGTTTGTGCTTCTTTGTACAACTGGGACAATTCACTAAGTTGTCTGTTGAGCTCATCTATCATTTGGTGCATCGCATCTTTCATTTCTCCAGCTTCAGCACTAGATTCCAGCTGTGTCTGATTTGTCAGCTTGTCCTGTAGCCTTTTTATTTTCTCTTGCCCTTCTTACCTCTCAATCAACAATGCTTTCTCTTGATTAATGTTATCAATAACTGAACAATATGAATTCTTAATTTCCTCACACTCTTCCACAGACAATTCACTTGCCACATTCTGCTCTCTTTCTTCAAACTTTTTCTGTAGCTCTCTCACTTTCTCTTTTTGTCTTTCACTTTCCTCCAACGCTCTCTTCAATTCTTGCTTAAGCACTTCAACTTCTCCGTATGTAACCTTCAACCTACTCAGATCAGAACTGGTTTCTTCGCTTTCAGAGGAAACAAGACCTGGCTTCATTTGCCTTTGTACATTCAAAACATCTTTCACAGGTTCCTCATACCTGTTTTGAGTTTCTTGGACCTTCAGGTTAAGATCAGAACCATTTTCTGAAATGTCTGTGTTATTGAAATGATCTGTTTCTGGGACTCTAGACTGGACCTGAGCTTCTATGTGCTTTCTTTTGGCTTCAGAATTCTCTAATTTTCTCTGCACCTCCTTTAAGTCTTCCTGGAGGTACTTCATTTGTGTTTCACTGGGGCTTGTCAACTTTTCTTGAACTTGGGTGGCACCTAATGTAGACTTCAGCTCCTGAGGTGAGAACTCATTTTGTCTGTCTGCAGTTTGCTCAAAATCTGTTTGGGTTGAATGATAAGACTCTACAGTTGGATCCACTTCTTTAGGTGTTCTTTCCTGTGCAAAAAGAAAGCCGAATAATGGCACAATAGAAACAAGTACATGATTTATTTTTCAGAATAGAGTAAGCAAGGAAATCTTGCCACATCCTACAGAGACAGACAATTAAAACACCATGGAAGAAAGTTTTACAAAAATTCAAAACCCAGCTGTTCCCATTTAGTCATCTACATCAAGAGAATGCAGTAAGTGCCAAGCTCCTCTGAAAGTCTGGGCTGATCTCCATAAGCTAATAACCAAAGCTATGCAAATTAAAATTCTGCTAACACAACTGTTAACAACATCTTTTAGAATGTGGTTATCATAATAAACAAAGTTATTCAGTAATTTATGGGAAAAGTGAGAAGATCAAAACACTGATTTAATTCTTTGAGGCAGAGTGTTTCCATGATCTTACCACCAACAAGCTCGTTAAATTATCTTCACAGTACATCTCTTTAAAATGGTAAACTGCTCTTTGTTCTGCTAGCAGATTAAGAGAGCGCTAGAACAGCACAAAAATATGCCACCTGTAATTTGTCCTGCAGCTCCTTATTGTGCAATGTCAAAGAAGCAATTTTTGCTTGCATCAACAGAAGTAGATCTTGCTGGTCAGCTTCAGAACTCACATCCAATAAACTATCAGCACCTTTAGAGAAAGAAAAGATTCAAAAGCTTTCAAAAAGCTGAAATACTAGCTAGTTAGTTATTCTAACATTTCAAATTAAACAGTTTGTTCCCATGACCACTAAGTGTAGTGAGCAAGCAAACTGTTCCTAGAAACTCCTTCCCCAAAAATGTGTTAAATCATCCAATAGAAGCGGGAGGTTTTGCTGGAAAGCTGCTAGTGAAATTACAAACCATTACTCCCAATACTCACTGTGTCTCAGATTCTAAGCGGAAAGGCACAGAGGATTTCTGACCAGATTTCAACCTTTTACACCACCTAAAACACCTAATGAAATATGAAAATAAGGTTTAAGTGTTATTGTATACCTGTTGTGCTGTCACTCAGTCTGTCTTTATCATCTTGATGCAAGGAGCTGAATTCTTCCTGCT